AAAGCAAATAGTAGGGAGGGGAGAGACAGACAGACAGACAGACAGATAGACAGATAGACAGACGGAGGAGAATTACGAGAAGAATAAAGAGAAGCTAAATAAGACATAGTAAATATATGATGAATACCGTAATTACAGGTGAGACAATAATTAAAAGAAAATAGAATAAAGGAGAAGTGCAATAGTGGAATGAAATAGAGGAAATTGTTGTATTATCCTGACCTAATTTAGTGGACATGGATAATAAGGATAAAGATGAATTAAAGAATGATGTAAATAAAAGGAAGAGGAGGAAATTCAGATTAAGGAGGGAATAAGGGACAAGGAAGAAGAAATGAGGAAGAATGCAGAAAAAAGGGAATAAGAATAAAAAGATAATGAGGGAAGAAGAGAAGAGAAGAATTATCAAGGGTGGATGGTTAGCAGTAGATGGGAACGGAGGGTAAATTTAGGTGGGAAAACACCCTCAGGTAAGGAACAGAAAGGCGAGATGGAAGGGGAGTCGCGAAGAGAAGAACAGGAAAGAGAGAGAGAGGCAAAAAACACAAAGTTAATAATTAGAGGGAAAGGGCAGAAATAAGAAGAGAAACGAAACCGTAAATATTGAAAGAGTAGTATAAGCAAGCAGCCGGGGAAGTAGGCTAGGAAATAGGCTGGCTGGTAAGTAGGCTCGGGAACAGGAAAGTAGACAGACAAGCAGGCGGGCGGGCGGGCGGGCAGGCAGGCAGACAGGCGGGCGGGCGGGCAGACAGGCAGGCAGGCAGGTGGCGTGCTTGTGTAATCAATAGATGCTTGAGTCACACACACACACACACACACACCCTTCCCACTCTCAGCACCTGGTGAGACGACTGGACAAACATGGAGCAGACTCGTATGTAGACTACCCCATCCCCTAGGCTCGACAGTCCCGTTATCTCGGTAAATGGAAAAAGCCGCGGAATGTTGCTGATGTATCATCCAGTTGTTGTGGGTTGATTATTTACCAGGTAACATACGGGGCTGATCTTGTACACCAAGTAACACACGGGGCTGATCTTATACACTAGGTAACCCACGGGGTTAATCTTGTACACCACGTAACACACGGGGTTAATCTTGTACACCACGTAACACACGGGGCTGATCTTATACACCAGGTAACCCACGGGGTTAATCTTGCACACCAGTACATAGACTGCAATTATAAGCACCTATCTGAATCAAGGGAATTATTGATAACATAAGCAATAAAAATAGGCTAGTCAAGCAGAAGTAAGGCAGCAGCAGCAGACACGAGTGCATTACGTGCATATCCCCTTGCCAACACAGCCGGTGACGTGACATGAAACCTTTTCCCTTGGTGGGTTATAACCTGTCGCTAAGTAGTGCCGCTCGCCGAGTTGCCGAAACTGTTAATAATTCTTCTTCCTGTAGGTCGCTGTGTTCGGTCTTCTTCCAAAAATTGATATTCCACCTCCCTTATGTTACAGAAAAAAATTCAAGATCATAAAATAGAATATTTCACACAGCGGGGGCAGGAAATACTTTTACTTTTTCGTTCGACCAATCGGGTTCCTGTGTGTGATAAACAAAAGAGGAACGAAATACGTGGAGAGCCAATGGGGAGCTGCTTTTATTTCGTGTTCGAGGGGCATGTGAAAGTTGTAACCAGTACCATTTTTTCTTGCTCCGGATTCCAAACTTCCTTGAAAAAGGGACATTTGTTGTCTTTTAGGGGCATTTGTTCATCAAACCTTATATCTGTACAAAAAATAATAATGTTTAAAGCAAGAACAACAGAAAATGACACGCGAGCGAAGCCAAGCTGGCACGCATTCGAACGTGTCCACACTTGCTAAAGTGGGTCGTGGGTGTGTGGTGGTGTGACGTCGCGAGAAACAGCTGATCACCCCTCACACTACAGGCAAGGCAACGGACGTGAGCGGGGTCGAGCAGCGCTGCAACCAAGCCCCGATATTTGCTAAGATTCTACGCCATTCTTCTCGACTATGGTATCACTGAGCGTCCAAGTGTTGGGATCATCAGGAGATGGAAGTTTAAACCTGGAATTGGAAGGAATGGAGGTAAGAAACGGGTGTTTTGTGAAGAGGCTCTTTGTCTATTCCTGCGCAGGTTGGCTACGTGGCTGGCGCAGAGCCCGTGAGGGTGGGGCTGATGACAGCCTTTGTTAATATTCACTATTTATTATAGTAGTTTAATTGTTCAAATGACCTTATTGATATATTCTCCCATATCTATGATATCCACGAGTGTCCTGGAAGGAAATCGGACTTTCTTGAGATAGGATGCCCTTATCTTCATCTCACGGAGAGGTGATGTTGACACGTAACCTCTTGTAGATCAATATACTGTATAGCTAACTGGTCTTGTTAAACTGTATCTTGCACAGCATTTGACAATTACGTGTTGATAGAATAATATAGGTGGTGGGTTGTTTGTTTACGGGTGGAAACTTACTGCGTAGTTGACGACTCGGCTCCGCTTAATAGATATAGACTAACATTTAACAATTGTCTGTGATGAGATGCCCTTGCAGCTGTAAATATGAACGAGTGTGTTGTTTACATAAAGATCAAGTAAATTTTGTTCCTGTGAAACTTAAATTCATGACCTAAACCCTCCACCAAACTTCGTTACGTACGAGAATGTTCTATGCCATTAAGCGGATGAGACTCCCCAGCTGGCTCGTCTCGGTGCCTCCATCTGTGCTCCCTTCCCTCTCCCTTCCCTCTCCAGCCAGTGTATCTCGGTTTTTGCTCATATGTGCTTTCAAATAGGTTAATGTTTCTTTCCGACTGATGGATATTGTGCCATTTACTACCTTCACTCCTCACTATGGCAACGAAGCAGCCTTTCACTTGAAACCTGAGCAGCCATTTTGGTTTGAGGAGGACTTCCAACACCCTTTGCCTTCTCCCCCCCATCTATACTACCCCTCTCCCTTTCACCCTTTGCCTTCTCCCCCCATCTATACTACCCCTCTCCCTTTCACCCTTTGCCTTCTCCCCCCATCTATACTACCCCTCTCCCTTTTACCCTTTGCCTTCTCCCCCCATCTATACTACTCCTCTCCCTTTCACCTCCCTTACTGAATACTCGTGTAATTAGAAAACTTATTTTTACCTAATATACTTAATGAATAATTTTTGTACAGATAGTTTCAATTAAATGTTTTAATGAACTGGTGTAGCTTGGTGTTGTACGACTGTAGATGGTTACTAAACGACTGTGCTTTATTGAACGGCATATGGACCCTATTAGATGCCCATGGTATAGACATATGGACCCTCCTAGGTGCCCATGGTGTAGACATATGGACCTTTCTAGATGCCTTTGGTGTAGATGTGGAATATTTTAAGCACCCATGGTGTAGACATATGGTATACTCTAGATGCCCATGGTGTAAACGTGGAACGTTCTAGATGCCCATGGTGTAGACATATGGACCCTTCTAGATGCCCATGGTGTAGACATATGGACCCTTCTAGATGCCCATGGTGTGGACGTGGAACGTACTAGGTGCCCATGGTGTACGACATATGGTATACTCTAGATGGTCCTGGTTTAGATCTATGATATACTCTAGATGGTCCTGGTGTAGACGTGGTATAATCTAGATGCCCATGGTGTTGATTGTGGAATAAGTTAAATGCTTGTGGTATTGATTGATATGTAGAATATTCTAGAAGACCATGATCTAGGCATGTGGTATATTCCAGGTACTGGGTGTTGTCTAGTAGTTTAGATGCCCGTAGTACTGGCATATGGATGTCCTAGACGTATCCACATACATTTAGAACATATGGATACTGTATATGTTCTTGGAATTGAAGTTTGGAAAGTTCTATACTTATGGTATTGAACAGAGGGAATGTTCTAGACTTATGGTATTGAACAGAGGGAATGTTCTAGACTTATGGTATTGAACAGAGGGAATGTTCTAGACAAGGTATTGAACAGAGGGAATGTTCTAGACTTATGGTATTGAACAGCATATGGAATGTTCTAGAGGGAGATGGGAAGGAACGTTCACAAATAGGGTGGTGGACAAGTGGAACAAGCTTATCAACTTTGTAGTAAGTGCTGGAACGCTGGAAAGTTTTAAAAGGAAGCTAGATAGATTCATGGAAGATAGTGGTAGTAACTTTCGACAGGAGCTGCTATGCACAGGCCAACCGGCCTATTGTAGACTCCTTATTTTCTGATGTACTTATGTTCTTATTGAACAGAGGGAGTGCTTTAGACTTAAGGTATTAAACAGCATATGGAATGTTCTAGACTCGTAGTATTGAACAGGGGGAATGTTGTAGACTCGTAGTATTGAACAGAGGGAATGTTCTAGACTCGTAGTATTGAACAGCTTATGGAATGTTCTAGACTCGTAGTATTGAACAGAGAATGTTCTAGACTTATGGTACTGAACAGCATATGGAATGTTCTAGACTTATGGTATTGAACAGAGGGAATGTTCTAGACTCGTAGTATTGAACAGAGGGAACGTTCTAGACTCGTAGTATTGAACAGGGAATGTTCTAGACTTGTAGTATTGAACAGAGGGAATGTTCTAGACTCGTAGTATTGAACAGAGGGAATGTTCTAGACTCGTAGTATTGAACAGAGGGAATGTTCTAGACTCGTAGTATTGAACAGAGGGAATGTTCTAGACTCGTAGTATTGAACAGAGGGAATGTTCTAGACTCGTAGTATTGAACAGAGGGAATGTTCTAGACTCGTAGTATTGAACAGAGGGAATGTTCTAGACTTATGGTATTGAACAGAGGGAATGTTCGAGACTCGTAGTATTGAACAGAGGGAATGTTCTAGACTTGTGGTATTGAACAGCATATGGAATGTTCTAGACTCGTAGTATTGAACAGAGGGAATGTTCTAGACTCGTAGTATTGAACAGAGGAATGTGTAGTAGTGAACAGAGGGAATGTTTTAGACTCGTAGTAGTGAACAGAGGGAATGTTTTAGACTCGTAGTAGTGAACAGAGGGAATGTTCTAGACTCGTAGTATTGAACAGAGGGAATGTTCTAGACTCGTAGTATTGAACAGAGGGAATGTTCTAGACTCGTAGTATTGAACAGAGGGAATGTTCTAGACTCGTAGTATTGAACAGAGGGAATATTCTAAACTCGTAGTATTGAACAGAGGGAATGTTCTAGACTTATGGTATTGAACAGAGGGAATGTTCTAGACTTATGGTATTGAACATAGGGAATGTTCTAGACATGGTATTGAACAGGGAATGTTCTAGACTCGTAGTATTGAACAGAGGGAATGTTCTAGACCCGTGGTATTGAACAGCATATGGAACAATGTAAGTGTCCATTATTGGCATTTTGAGTGTTTTATTTGTTTATGGCCGCCCATGGTAGGTGTAGACGCCCATGGTAGTGACATGGTAGGTGTAGACGCCCATGGTAGTGACATGGTAGGTGTAGACGCCCATGGTAGTGACATGGTAGGTGTAGACGCCCATGGTTCTAACATATGGTAGGTGTAGACGCCCATGGTACTAACATATGGTAGGTGTAGACGCCCATGGTATTCAAGTATAGAAGATTCTAGACGCCTAATGTATTAATAAATAACATTGAGGCAGAAACGGTTTACAAGCGAAACCTGTAACTTCCAACCTTTGTCTCTGGTCTTGTGTTAAACAGTACTGTACAAGACAAAAAAATAGTTACTCCCAAGCATCTGGCACCAATTGGAAAGTTAGATTAGTTAATAACGTTTGACAATAGTCAGGGGAGGGGGAACAAATCTGACAGCTGATCAAATAGTGTAATATTGAGTTGATCATTTTATTTGTTTTATTTTGGGTGTTTGAAGTCGGATCGATTTTAGGGACCCAAGATAGATTTATGATATCGAGGTAAAATAATTTGTATTACTGTTCCTACACTTTCAGAATGAAGCTTAGAAGTAAATAACCTATTTGTCTTATAAAGCTCCCATTTTGTCTGTTTTATGCATTGTTTTCTGAAGTTTTTAATTTTAGTTCAACAGCCCTCTTGAGTGACCTGAGAAAGTGATGTTATAACTTTGACCAAATGGTTACGCTGTATGACACAGTACCTCGCCTATTATCAAGCTTTTGTTGACTTTACAGATGTGAAATACGTAGATGAAAGCGTTTGGGGGTTGGTTGAGAAGGAAGTGGTCAGATTAAACTTCAGTATTTTCTTTTCAGGTTTTTTTAATTTTGTATTAATTTTATCTTTTAGTTTGAAGTGTGAGCAATGTGTAGGACGGGTTTAGTGTCCAAAATTAATTCTACATTGCTGTAGGATCTTGAATTTCAGGCTCTATAAGGCGACCAGTTTGCAGTTATATTTTGGGCAATAACCTTGAGTGATTATCGAAAGGTACATCAGTCAAAGTAAGAGTCATTTAATTTCATAATAAACTGAAGAATTTATTTACAGGTCTACTTATATAATTATAATGCAAGTACAAATTGATCACAGTACGATGTGATACTTGCCACCGAAGCAGTTGCCTAGCCTATGGCGTGTCTAAGCGGGAAAGAAGACGAGAGTTTCATCAGTCACTATAACTCACTTTATTTGTATTTTAGTATCTTTTGTCACAGGTATCAGGTCATAGCAGACTCTTAGCCTCAAGGGGTTCATTTACTAGAGGAATGATCCATTGAGGGAGAACGAGTGGTGTGGGCGAGAATAGCTTTGAGAGGGCACTCAAAAGGGCTTTGGCCCTGATCGTGATGGACAGATGGGGGTTGTGGACCAGTTCGTGATGTGCCTAGTTGAAAGCTCTCTGGTACCCAGCACACAACTTTTTAAGACGACCCAACAAGTGGTCCCACCGATCATAGACTCCTAAAAGGATTGAGTGACTAGTTCTTGAGTGGTACCGTAATGTTCACTCTAGGCTTGTTCTCGCCACCTGGATCCATGTTCGAGCCTACAGACCAAAAGTGTATAGTGTGTGTTTGAGTGTTAAGTATTTTGTAGTTTTATTATTTTGTAACTGTAAAACTTAACATAGTATCATGTTTACTAAATCACTTAAGTCACTATCTACAGTACAAGAATAAAATTTGCAAGAGTAATGTTTTCATCGTTTGGGAAATATGATCACCACATAAAGATGCAATTAACAGCTCAAGTTGGTAAAATTGCCTTCATTTCAATTGTTAAAATTTTGAATTGATTCATGAAAGTTTAAAATGGATTGGCATAGTCGAATGGTGTTCTCGTGTGGCCGCCCAGAAAGTGTTGATATTTTTTTTCACCTTAAGCGTGACAAAGTTTGTCGGCTGTTTACTTGTACCACCTAAGCTTGATAATAATTGTCTGGTGCTGAATATGCAGGTCAACAGGTATATAACTATATCTGATGTGCAGTAATTTGAAGACAAAAGTGATGCCATGTTAGGTAAGCGTGCCATACTGTATACAATTGTCCTCCATTTATTAACCTCATAATTCCTTGAGGGAATTTGGTAATGTGTGTGTGTGTTTGTGTACGCCATGACTTGTAGTTGTTGGTTACTGAGAGGAGGTCCCCCCACCGCGAGGGTTTCCCTGTCAGTGCAGCGACTCGTGAGAAATAAAAGCCTAATTTTTTAACCTTTGTTTTAGTAGTTTCATTAAACTGTTACGTCATTACGGTACAAAATCTCCCCACTTAAGCAGAAGAGGAAACTTAGTAGTCCCTCAAGTAACGAAGGGAATATTCTCATGTAAACGGGTAATTCATTGATGTAAACATTTCTTACAGTAGTGGATTAAAGATGGACATTAAAACTAAAATGGTCAGTTTGTCCACTGTCAAGCTATATCCCAATAGTCTCGATACCAGATACATCAGGCCATTTACAATTAGTAAATATGTACACTGAATAATTTTGCGCAGGCAAGACATTGTCCCGTATGTTGAATATTATAATCTGTATAATATGACTGGTTATGGGCGAAGGCACTAAGTTACGAGCCATAAAGACAAAAATGTGGTCCATGGACGAAAGGTTATTGAGGAGAAGGGGTAGGTAACAGGATGTGGGGGTGAGGCAGACAAAGACTTTGTAACTGAGGTGTTGTCTATGGGGGGTGTTGTGGATGTGTTCTTTGCATAGTATGCGTATGACTTGTTTGGTTTATAGTGAATAGTTGTCTACTGTTTGTGTGGAGTGATTTGGTGTGAGAGTACAAGTTGTGCGCTCGGGTGTTGATAACTTAATGCAGTGGTTCTTAACCTTTTTTGAGTCACGGACCCCTTTGAGAATCTGGTGAAAGCTATGGACCCCCTCCCTAGAAAAATGCACATAAGCACAACTTTGCATGCACTGAATATACTTTATTTTATTGAAAATTAATTGCCTCATTCTGTACAGTGTATGACATACACAAAGTATGAATAAAGTAAACAATCTTAACAAAGAATTATGTTTCACACTTTTTTATGCAAAAAATAATTTTTATCTGACCACGGACCCCCTGAAGCCCATCCGGGTCCATGGACCCCAGGTAAGAACCCCCTGACTTAATGCATGTTGACTTAAGGATGTGCATTCATTAATTAAGATATACTTGTATGTGGATTGTATAGTTGTGTGTGTGTAGAAGGTTGACTTGGGTAAGGTGTTGCTGTAATAATTTAGGTGTATAGACTGTATTTTGTGTGTGTTTGTGTGTGTATCTGTGCGTGGTAACAGTAATGTTTGTAGGACGAGGCTATCATGCTACGGAAAACCACAGGACAGTAATGTTTCCACAAGGCCAGGACAGTAAGTTTGAGAGGACATGGCATAGTGTTGAATACTGGTGCTGACAAACGAATCGCCAAGAAAAGTCCCAGGAGTATATTTTCCCTAATACCTTAACGCTAACCTAACCTCTCGGTAGCGTTAAGGGTGTATTAAACACCAGGTGATGTATTCTGGGGTGGAGAATCTGTCTGACACATTACTCGGTCAATACATACTGTAGGTAGCTTTAGAAAGTTAACAGGTTACGAGTGTACAATGAGAACGAGACACTATAGGTAACGAGTGTACAATGAGAACGAGACTATGAGAAGCAATAGATAATTGCGTACAAACAATTCATATAAAGAAATTTTTTTATGGTTATTTGTACACTGGAAAGGTCTGGTCAGATTAAAATAGCAAATCTATGGTTAGGCAGTTCTTCTAAACAGGTCAGACGCATCTTGGTATTTTAAACGTATCTTTGGTCATATTTTTTTTTATAAACATCCAGAAGTCAATACGACCAGTGTGCTAGTCTGTTGCTACCACTTAGGACACACTTGAGTGCGTCTTGTGGATGCCATAATAATATTCGCATCAAGTCTGTACTGGGAGAGATCTGGCAGGAAGCCAAACTCGCCTAGTCCCTTCAGGGTTGAGGCGACATAATATAGAAAACGTGTATCCTACCCCAAGGGTAACTTGGTGAAATTTAATTGACAGTGTCTAGTCGCAGCTGTGTTGGATGTGGATTGATTTTCAGAATATCGAAGTTAATTGATGCCTGGGAATACACGGTTATACTAGTAAACTGACCTGAAGTAGTATGCATTAATGACTAACAAATTTATTGACAAACATGGAGTACAGTTTGCCTAATCTGAGTAATTCAGTCAAGCTTTATCAATTAATTTGTTAAAACTGACACTGAGGGTGGTATCACTTCTCACTGCCACGCAGGACAGAGGTTCATACACAAAGAAATAACATCATATTCATTAACAGTATATATATAGGTAGCCTAATGAGTCTACTTGGACCTCCGAAGTACGAGAAGTCACCACCACCTTGAGGCCTGTGCAGGGACGGTCATGATTGAGGTAGGTCAGGATACGATGTGGTTTGTCGTGACGTGTGTGGGTTATTGAGGGGCGGGGAGCGGGTTTGTGTGGATCAGAGAATCTGGGAGGGTACAGGAGGAATGAGAGGCTGTGGGGGGTGGGTGTCAAGTGAATGTAGTGGTGGAATGTTAAGTGGGTGGTGTCGAATGGGTGGAGTGTCGAATGTGTGGAGTGTCAGGTGGGGTGGAGGGCGGCACTCGTTCGGGAGGAGCACGAGCAACAGGTTGGCTCTACAACACCAGCCTTTAACTGTTAATTGACTTAATATATTGGACACAAATATGAAACAATGTATATTATAATTTATTGAATTAAACTGGTTTAATCTAGTCATTACACCAGGCAGGCAGGTAGTCAGACTGGTAGGTTAGGTGGCTAGAAAGTTAAGCAGAAACCAGTACATGGCCACGCCGCCATCATTACCAGCCCGCAGCAATATAACCTTGAAAACCCGCCCAGTCTCGTCAGCGCTACCAAAAAAAAAAAAAATATATATATATATATATACGATTAACAGGTTTTAACTCCTATTACTATCCTATTGGATAATGAACACTTGAGCAAAATTAATTAATGTCTTTAAGGAAAGTCAATTTTCTGTAATGCACATCTGTGATTTTTTAAGGTTAATAATGAACGTTTTGAGCGGTTTGTATAGTTGAATAAGCAGGTTCATGCTGTTGGCAATACTGGCCCTTGGTAAAGCCTCACCCATGCGGACGGTGTACAAAGATGGTCATATTAATATTTATTGCATGACAGTGAATCGCTTGTTGCAGACACAGGTGGATGCTAACAGGCAAATTAAATACTACCGCAAGTGAAGCTGAATTAGTGGATCTATTTATTCTTGAACGGACTGGTGAATTTATTAATAGTATAGTAAACATAATATACTATTATGTATACGGCAGCAATACTATTCTCCCCGAAGAATGTTGTGGTAGTGATGTGTATACAAGTGAGTGTATTTACTTCCTGTTCCCCTGTACAAGGTTGCAATACACAATGTGCTTCGGACACACCACTCGCCCAGTATTACCAACTCCAACTCCGTATTTACATAGTTTATAAAGCATTGCAACTGATATTTATTTAGCGTATCTCTGGTATCAAATTTAAGCGTAAAGTTGAGCATTAACGTAGAGTAAATGTTGTATTTTCACTCGTTTAACAGTGTTAAACCTTTGAAGTTCTGCATTTCTACGGCCCTTTGGCAACACTAGCTTCAAGGTGACTTTGAAGTGTGTTACCAGATGTTGCCACTTGTGAGCTGTAACTACACGCAATCTCAACCGTGGCTTCTATAGGGCCACAGACAATTTTGTTGTTCTTCATAGCTTGTTTTAAGTGATTTCTTGAGAGCAGATGTAATAAAACGAATAATTATTGATGTAATTGAAAGTGAAAGACCTTATTATTGTGGGAAAGTTGGCATCCCTGATCTTGTGTTTACTTGGCTGCCTGCCAGAGCCACAGCACCGTGTGGGAGTTGCCAGGTAGTCTGTAACCCACCTGATTACTCCCCGATCTGCATCCTTGTTTTTGTGTATCAGTTCGTCACCTTGTTTCTCCTATTTACGTATGAAGAACAGTGGATTTTAGGTATTTTATTGCAGTTTCTGAATCAATGTTCTAAAGAGGTTTGGTTAGGCTGAGTGAACATCGATTTATGAGCAGCCCGTGTGTATTAATAGATTGTTGGTAAACGGAGATAACCTTCAGGTCTCTCTCTGCATGGGCTTTAAAAGATGGGGTGGGTATTATGCTTGTAAAGGGTGCAGACAACCCTAGCAGTAGAATCAATAGAAGTTGAACAAAATAGACCATTCTACTGTATTGCAACGATACATAAATATATATTTGATTTGGTGACACCCGCAGTGGTCCCCCCTGTTGGAATGTATTGTCTGGTAAAAAAAGAGACTGGGGAGGGGGGAATAATGAGCATATTCTTATAATGAGGACAGAAGGGAAATATGTTATAACCAATGGAGAGAGAAAAGCTGAAATATTGTACAGAGTGGAGGAGTCAAGAGCGTGGTAGATCAGTGGAGGATGACGAGCTGTGTATCGAGTATACTGTAGGTGCCAACAACCACAAACTCTCCCTCCACCTATGTCATCAACATGCTATTTTGACACCACCACACACACAAGGCTGACACCACCACCACAGAAGGCTGACATCACCACCACACAAGGCTGACCACCACACAGGGCTGACACCACCACCACATAGGGCTGACACCACCACCACACAGGGCTGACACCACCACTACACAGGGCTGGCATCACCACCAACCACACAAGGCTGGTATCACCACCACCACCACACAAGGTTGACATCACCACCACCACCACACAAGGCTGACATCACCACCACCACCACCACCACAAGGCTGACATCACCACCACCACCACCACCACCACAAGGCTGACATCACCACCACCACCACCACAAGGCTGACATCACCCACCACCACCACCTGACATCACCACCACCACCACCACACAAGGCTGACATCACCACCACCACCACACAAGGCTGACATCACCACCACCACCACACAAGGCTGACATCACCACCACCACACAAGGCTGACATCACCACCACCACCACACAAGGCTGACATCACCACCACCACACAAGGCTGACATCATCACCACACGAGACTGACACTACCACCACACGAGACTGACACTACCATCACACGAGACTGACACTACCACCACACGAGACTGACACCATCACCAT